AGTTTGAGACCAATCTGGGCAACATGGTAAAACCCCAACTCTACAAAAAATAACAAAATTAACCAGAAGTGGTGGTGCACACCTATAGTCCTAGCTACTCAGTAGGATGAAGTTGGAGGATCTCTCCTGGAGGATCTCTTGAGCTCAGGAGGTCAAGGCTGGAGTGAGCCGAGACTGTGCCACCGCACTCCAGCCTGGGCGACAGAATGAGACTCTGCTTCAGAGAAAAAAAAGAGAGAGAGAGAGAGAGAGAGGGAGAGAGAGAGAATACATAAATAACTCCTACAAATCAATAAAGAGTAAACATAAATAGAAAAATGGGGCTGGGCGAGGTGGTGCACACCTGTAATCCCAGCACTTTGGGAGGCTGAGGCTGGTGGATCACAAGGTCAAGAGATAGAGACCATCCTGGACAACATGGTGAAACCCTGTCTCTACTAAAAATACAAAAGTCACCTGGGCATAGTGGCACGTGCCTGTAGCCCTAGCTACTCGAAAGGCTGAGGCAGGAGAACCGCTTGAACCCAGGAAGCAGAGGTTGTGGTGAGCCGAGATTACTCCACTGTACTCCAGCCTGGTAACAAAGTGAGACTCTGTCTCAAAGAAAAAAAAAAAAGAAAAGAAAAATGGACAAAAGAGGTGAACCGGCAAGAAATACACAGGTATACATATATTCCAAATGGCTAATAAACATATGAAAAGGGGCCGGGCGCGGTGGCTCACACCTGTAATCCCAGCACTTTGGGAGGCCGAGGTGGGTGGATCACGAGGTCAAGAGATCGAGACCATCCAGGTCAACATGGTGAAACCCCGTCTCTACTAAAAATACAAAAAATTAGCTGGGCGTGTTGGCGCGTGCCTGTAATCCCAGCTACTCAAGAGGCTGAGGCAGGAGAATTGCCTGAACCTAGGAGGTGGAGGCTGCGGTGAGCCGAGATCACACCATTGCACTCCAGCCTGGGTAACAAGAGCGAAACTCCGTCTAAAAACAAAAAAATATATATGTGAAAAGGTGCTTATCCTTATGAGTCATTAAAGAAGAGCAAATTAAAGCTGGGAGATACTACTGCACAGCCACCTGCAAGGCTAACATTTAAAAGTCTGGCCAGGCTGGGTGCAGTGGCTCACACCTGTAATTCCTGAACTTTGGGAGGCCGAGGTGGGCGGATCATTTGAGGTCAGCAGTTTGAGAACAGCCTGGCCCACATGGTAAAACCTCGTCTACTAAAAATCCAAAAAAATTAGTCTGGCATGGTGGCGCATGCCTGTAGTCCCAGCTACTCAGGAAGCTGAGGCAGAAGAATCGCTGAAACTTGGGATGTGGAGGTTGTGGTGAGATCGCGCCACTGCACCCCAGACTGGATGACAGAGCAAGACTCTATCTGAAAAAAAATCAAGTCTGACAAGGCCAGGCACGGTGGCTCACACTTGTAATCCCAGCACTTTGGGAGGCAGAGGCAGGAGGATCAATTGAGGTCAGGATTTTGAACCCACCCTGGACAACATGGCCAAACCCCATCTTCACAAAAATCTAAAAAATTAGCTGAGCGTTACAGTGTACATCTGTGGTCTATGCTACTCAGGAGGCTGAAGAAGGAGAATCACTCTTTCTAGGAGGCAATGAGCCATGTTCGTGACACCACACTCCAGCCTGGGAGACAGAGTGAGACCTTCTCAATAAAATAAAATAAAAATTAGAAATAAAACAAAAGATTTACAATATCAAGGTTTTGGCAAGAATGTAAATCAACTGGAACTCTCCTATACTATTGATAGGAGCTAAAGTGATACAATGACTTTGGAAAGCTGCTTGGCAATATCTATACAAGCTGAATATGCCTGTAACATGTGACTCAGCAAGTCCACTTCTAGGTATATAGATATATGTAAGAATGTTCATAGCAGCATTATTACAAATAGCTAAAACTAAAAATAATCTATTGATAATAGCATGGGCAAATAAATTCCGCAATATTTATACAACAGAAATCTAAACAATAATGAAATGAACAAACTACTGATATTTGCAGCAACATGAGTGAATGCTCCATATGTTGAGTGAAAGAAGCCAAACTACAAAAAAATATATATTGCACAGGTCAGAATATGCAGAACTGTCCCAGCACTTTGGGAGCTAAGGCAGGTAGATCACTTGAGGTCAGGAGCTCAAGACCAGCCTGACAAACATGGTGAAACCCCACCTCTACTAAAAATGCAAAACTTAGCCAGGAGTGGTGGCACACATCTGTAACCCCAGCTACTCGGGAGGCTGAGGCAGAATCACTTGAATCCAGAAGGTAGAGGTTGCAATGAGCCGAGACTGTGCCACTATACTCCAGCCTGGGCGACAGAGTGAGACTCCGTCTAAAAAAACAAACAAACAAACAAAAAAACAGAATATGCAGAACTGAACTTCTGCTTCTGTCCATAATGCAGTAAAAGTGGTATTAGACATCCTTTTGTCCTAAGCAACTGTAAGGCTGAATAAAATATTGAGACAACTGTTTTCAGGCATTAGACAACAGGCAAGGCAGGGCTGTGACCCTTGAAGGAAGAGAAAAATATAAGGTAAGTTGCATGTTGCCTCCAACTTCCTGCCTGGGGCACCTTCCCAACTACAGTGCAGGAAGATGGAACCTAAACTGACAGCAGCCATCTCTGTGAACTGAGGAAGCAAAGGATTGGATTTGAGGATGATGAGGCAGGTAGAATTTGTAGGGCAAGAAATCTGAGAGAAGATGAGGGCAGGGCAGGGATAATAGAACACAGAGGTAAAAAGAAGATGGTTGGAGGCATCCTATGGGTCCATGGCTTCCAGACTCTGTAAAGTTTAGTAGACAGCAGAGGTCATGAGGCTGAGAACTGCACAGACACAGAGGTTTCACAGTGCTGGAAGACATTCAAGTGCTAGTTCATCCAGGGTGGAGAGACTTTGCTAAGCACCTCTGTCATTTTGTTTAGATCCCAAACACGTCAAGCATTAAATCTGAAGAGTGCCCTCTATTGTAAGGGCCAGGTGTCTGGACTGAGGATAAATCCATACTAACAAAGCATAAAAGCAAACCTGGCAGGGTCAAACTA